GCATATTAAATAAAAATACAATAATTTTTACAGCATTTTATGTGAGCAAGACGTGCCATTAATGTAGACTTTGAATATGTACTGCAATTCCTATTTGCAGTCTACAAATAGGAATTCCACTAATGTGAACCAAATATAACACTCATAGTTTCGATACTGAAAATAGACAATTCGTTGACGTGAACCCGACGTATCATTGACTTTGAATACTGCAAATAGACATCCCATATAAGTGAAGCAGAAGTAGGCCTAAGCCTACCATTGACTTCGGATACTGCAATTAGGCATTTTATTTATGTGAACAAAATAAATGGACCATAGATTTAGGATACTGCAAGTAGACTATTCATTTACATGTACCATTGAGTTTGGATACTACAAGTAAACAATCCGTCTACGTGAACCATACGTACTATTGACTTTAGAATCTGTAAATAGGCATTCCATTTATGCTAACCAAATATATCATTGGCATTTTTGGATACTGCAAGTAGACATTTAATTTATGAGAACCAGATGAAACATAGAATAGGCCTAAGGTTCCTGCAAGTAGACAATTCATTCACTTAATCCTGTGAATGACTTTGGATACCTACTGCCAATAGGCATTCTATTTAAAATGCGAACCAAATATGTCATTGCATTGAATATGCTGGCTCCGCTCAATATTGCAAGCAGACAACTGCATTGTACACCTAGTATTAGATTATTCTGTTCTAGAGTACTGAGAGGACAAATTTACGTAAGCCAAAAAATAGTTATATAGCTATATTTTTTAACTGGCTCACTTAATGCAATCTTCAAAATATTTCCATTATGTAAATGTAAAAATCTTGATCTTAAATGTAATAATCGTCTGCTATAATCTTGATAAGAAGAGATATGTCAATGCATATGCAAAATATGCAATCACCCGATTTTATTTTTAAAGTTTTAAATAATTTTTTGAGACAGTGATAATCAGCCAGAGTGATTATAATTTACCACTTATAGTTGCATTTTATTAACAGTGTTTTATTTCTGCTGAAAAACGCGAAAGTCAGCATTTAAGAGAAGGGATACCTTCTCTTAAAACACACTTTAAGCACACTTTAGTTGCATTTGGTTTTGTATTTTTTAATTGAGCAGAAATCGGAAACTCATAAACTGAGTCAAAATTCTGCCAGTCAACAAACCAGCTTATAAGATAATGATATAGAAACTTAACTTTAAGATGCAAAAACAACCCTAAATTAGTGCTATATAGTGATCAGTAAATGGTTTAAACCATGAGTTCTGCTCGATTCCGTGTAAAATGTTAAAAGGAAGGTCTAGTTGCAAAATTGTCAATACCGTAATTATTTATTAAGATTCGTTCATTGTAACGTAATGGTAAATGGTATCTTTAACTTTTAGCACCTTGTGAAAAGGCAAAAATCTTATTTTCAAACACATTACACACAATAACTACTTCTCACTTCCTAACCTGATTAAGGTAATTGATTGCTATCGCGTCATGATTATGGGAATACTGGTATTCCTGTTTAGCCAATGATGAAGTGGTGATAGGTCGTCATTAGGTACATCAGCAAAGACATCGCAACATACGTGATAACAGATTATCACCAGGTGCTTGATTGAGTCAGCTGATCAAAACAGGTGAGAGGTGCGCCAACGGTGTCCGGAAAGATGGGGACGAGGAAACTTAGGGACACGGAAACTTGGGGACAAATCGGGTTTTGAGCCGAGGGGGAGGCAAACGGAGGCTGACTAAGCTCTGAGAACAACTCTTTAAATCGAATCGTTCTCTATTGTTACTGTACCTAGGTCTAGTTGTAACTACGACCTGTTGTATGTAAATCAACAGGTGTTGTATGTAACAAACTGAAGGGGAGATACAACTATATGTAAATATAGTTGTATCTCCCCTTCAGTTTGTTACCTTGTTTAAATGGTTACTTTTGTAGAGTTTAGGGACAACAAATTGAGTACATTAAGGTAAAGGAAATATGAGTGAACAGAATACAGGAATGTCCCGTTAATCCCCTCGCACGTTTCTCCGAATCGACTCCATTTGCAATTTCTTAGATTTTCCTTTCAAACAGGCCAGTTATTGGGGTGTCAGGTCACTCGGGCCAGTTATCTTTTGTGTAGTTGCGAGAGTGTGATTGACCTCCAATTTCCAACCTAAATATTCTTGGTTTTACGTGGCAATCGCAAAAGAGGAACTCTAAGGTTCAGCTGTTGATAAAACTATTTTTTCTGAATTCTTAAAAGTGGTGGTAATTTAGGCCTAATTTCTTTCATCGTCAGTTTATACTTATTGAAATATTTATATACAAAATTATCCAAAACACTGATTTGTATGATAATGGACACGTTTTCTTAAATTCTTTACTGCAAACGTCACTAACCATTTTAGGCTACTTAAAATACTTCTTAATTATATGTTTATTCTATAAAATGTTCAGTATGGGTACGCTATTATTATATAGTCACATTTAAAAATGCTCAGTTTTTTTTTCTAAATAGAACCATAACATTCTAGCCAAGCGTGATAAAATGCTGGTGACTGTTAGGAACTCTGTTACTGGGGTGAATCTCTTCGATTTTCACAATATTTTAGTTACATTTTCACATGGCATAATTAACAACATATTTCCTAATAGATTCCATCAATTATCTGTTAGTTATGATCAATAAATACCAATAAAAATAATTATTGGATAGTTTGAAAAATGATTCAAGACAACAAACAAAGTAAAGTAACAAAGGATAATTTTAGCAAAAATTGTAAACAAGTGACGTTTTGCAGACGAAGTATATAAAAATCTGTAGGTTTATATATCAAGTTTTATTTTAAAAGTGTAACAAACAAAAAAATTACTCATAACCTTTATAAAAACACAAAAAAAATATTAAATGTCTTGTAAACAATTGTAACGGACGTACGTAATTATATTTCAAAAAAATACATTGGGCCATTTTCACCAATTTAGTGAATATAAGAAAATACCCCCGCTGCAGCAAACCTGCAGACTAAGCGAATTTCCATTTCCCTGAATGGATTTACACTAAAATGTCTCCTTAAAAATATCACATTTATTCCCTATTTAAATAGAATCAGTTTTACACATAGGTTTGCTGCAACAGGGAGGGTAAAAGTGTTTTTTATGTAAAATGTTAATAGTTAGTAAGAAATAAAAACATTTTCCAAATTTGGGCAAAATATGTTTATAAACAAGCAAACTACAACAGTTTACTTATTCTCCATAAGAATAACATGGGAATTTTAAATTTAAAATTTTTTGGAATTTTCTCCGTAACCATTAGGCACATTATAACGCTTCAATATACTAAATAATTTGTTTTTTAAGCTCTACAAAATAGTTTAGAAAGAAATTGCAAAATTTTATGTTTTTTAGGTCAAAAATGGGAAAAACCCATTTTTACCCCATAAAAGCCCCCTTAAACCCCCGTTCCCATGGTCCGATCATGCTGGTTTGCGAACTCGTTCGAATAAACGTAGGTTTACACGTTTGTACCAAATTTCATCAAAATCGGATCATTTTTGCTCGAGTTATCGCGCTAACGGACATATATATATTTAAATATATATATAAATATATATATATATATATATATATGAATTTGAACGGATGGTGTTTTTGGCCTTTAGGGACCTCAAAACGAAAAAAAAATCTGTCCCGGGTCCAGGTCTTACCGTGAGTACTACGGTAATAGCTTATTCCCTATATGGGAAATTCGCTAAAAGAGTTTAATCCCGTGGCGGATCCAGCCAAGGATCCCTTGGCCAGAAAATATTTAACTATCGGGAAATATCATATAATATATTTCGCTTTATTTTTACAAAGCCTTGTAAACCGATTTGAACAACTTAAAAAAATCACTAAATTGTCGGTGGACATTTTTGTCAAAATATTCAATCTTGACCATGCAGTCCTGTAATTTTCCCAGAGTAAGCCGCATAAAATATTGTCTTCTTAAGCGTTTCCGAAAAAAATGACAGCGGATCAGAAATTCAGAGATAAAATGTCCATCAGACATAAAAGTAACCAAATACACCATGATCCGACGCAATGTGCAAACAAAAAAACAATTTATTTCATAACGTTTATCATAGGCCTACACAATCACAAAAATATTTTAATTTTAAACTAATTTTAACAATATATCTTAACAATGTGTCATTACATTATATTCAGTCATATTATTGCATAGAATGCGTTTATATATTTTGTAATAACTTCCAAACAAACAAGGAACAACAACAAAACAACAACAACAAACAACAAAACAAGGACAAAACAACAACTACAACTACAACAACAACACACAACAACAACATATAAACAAGGAGGGGGTTTTCTGTGTTTAACTTATCCAAAATGGGTAAAAAAGAAGCTAGAAAACCTAGGCGATTAGGCCTGGGTCAATCAGTACATGACTGACTTTTAACATTTTTAGGTTTATTGTTTGGAAATATTCAAATTATGATGTTGAAGTCAATCCCGTTACTGTAGCTCTCTGTGAACTGAAACAGGAGAACGATTCGTTCTAAAAGAGTCGTTTCAGAGCCTAGTTCAGCTAATCTCTCCCTCCCCCTCGGTCGAACCCCTATTTGGCCCTAACTTTCCGTGTCCCTAACTTTCCTTGTCCCCATCTTTCCTAAACTCGCGCCAACACGTGTCGACACTGACCTACCGCGGCTAACCGCCTACTGTAACCGCCTAACCGCCTAGCTGCCAAGCCTAGCTGTCTAGTCTAGCCACCACCTACGTACTTGCCCTAATTAACTCACAAACCCGATAAATCGATAGCTTACACATTTTATCTCTTTATTTAGATTACTTGTAATAATGCAACCGGCTGGTTTTCTTGCGTAACCCTGAACAGTTCGGACCAGGCCAATGTTGGACTACGCGCCACTGGGCTTGTGTCCAGTGAAAGGTGTAAAGTTGTCCCTCCCCCCCTCAAAGTGTCCACTGGGTCCACCTAAACTGACAAATATAAATACCAACTTGACCAAACCTCCACAATCAGTGTTGCACAGAACCAGCATGTCTCTCAAGGTAGGATAACACTCTAAAGATACTCTTATTTAGTAAAAATGCTTTCATCTCAATAGGGTGTTTATAGGAATATTCAAATTTATTATTAGGGTTTCATTAATTCATTAGATTGAAAAATATCGGTTTTAATAATAATGGACTAATTATATACGGTGTAATGATTGGTTATCGAATATCTATATGAAGCTTTTTAGAATGAAAGAAATACAAATACTGAAATATGTAGAATTCATAAGATAAGAATAATTAAACATTTGGTATCACTTAATAAAATCTTTATGCTGATATTAAATAAGTTCTTCTAAAGAAAGCTTACCCAATTACTAGAATCAAACAATTATTTAGTACAATAAGTATTAGGGAGGATCAAAATTAAGTATATTTTAGTACGAAAAAAGTAACACTAAAGGCCTGTTCACACCGGCGTAGCCCGACGTCTGCAGACGTATTCGGTGTATTAATACGTTGCCCGTGCACTGTTCACACCGCAGCTACGTCTGACGTGTTGTTTGTTTATTTTATTATATTATTTTATATTTGGTAATTTTATTGTTTATTTTTATTAGCGTTTTATGGATTTCAGTTAAGATTGTCACGGTTCAATTGCAGCTTTTATAGTACCCTGAAAAGTCTGTTGAATAATGAGTTAATGTTGACAAAAATGTTTCACTCTAATTTTAGGCCGTATATAGTAGATTATAAGACTTGTGCTATATTGTAATATAAAATAAATATTATCAGAAAACATGCAATAATTTTGCTCGTCCATGGATTACATGATAAAATATTCTATGGTGTAAGGAAAACGTAAGCCTATGTCTAAAAATAATTCATTAATGTTTCATAAATATCAGCCCACAATATGAACCATAATAAACCATATTAAGAGAGACGACTTTTTTGATAAGGAGATTTACAAGCAAAATGTTAGTGAACATTAGGTACTCGTATGATGAAGTATTATTATATTGATCATATAAAGTTTTCTTAAGGTTGTTATGTTATAGTGATTTAATGATATTTTTAAGTGATTCTTAATTTTTGTGTTATAATCCAACATTTACCGCTTAATAAATTAATTATAAGGTGGAGGGAGGGTGGCGGTGACAGTCCGGTGTGCTAGTGCGCATGCGCGTATTCGGCTATGCGAGCTACGCGTAGCTAGCCGGCGTAGCGGCAGCGCCGTAGCTTCCGTAGCTCACGTATTAATACGCCGGTGTGACCACTCTCTATGAATTACATTAAGAGCTACGTCAGCTACGTATTCCGAAAAAGTATTAATACGACTGGCTACGCCGGTGTGAACAGTCCTTAAGTTATTTTATATACAGTGACCTCAATGTCACAACAATGTAAACAACATTATTTTGCGTCTAACCTTCACTCATATTTGGATTAAAATACGCACATAGTGGCGTCCCCATCTTAAATAATTGATAATTGATAACCATAATTCATAAGAGTATTAAAATTTGACATTTCTCACATAGGTATTTGTTAATCATATTGAGAAACTTTTAGACTAATGTTGTAATTGTTTTAACAGAATGGACTAACAATTATTTGGTTTTAGTTAAATCATGGTATTGCTCAAATTATTGTAATATTATTTCAGTTAGCATCATTATTAAAACCTTTAAAAAACTAAAAATATATATGTCTTATTACTCACTACTAGTTGTGTACTATTTTACTTACAAGTTGTAATAAATGCCACATTTATTATGGTAACCTTACAATGATTAAAAACAAATAAATAATCATTTTAAAACAGTTAATTTTATACATTACTGTATTACATAAATCATTAATGACCATTTAAATAATTTCCATCCCATTAACATTTCAATTGGTACAATCATAGATAAAACATACTTAGTCTATGGTACAATATTAAACGTCATTCTATTACTGAATAAAAATACCTCAACAGTTTTCTCATATGAGTTGTAAATAAATATTCACCGATTTTGTACTATTTTTTCTCATGGAATCTTCAAAAAATAATTATTAAAACACAGTTTTCGTGAGTTTTTCTTCTCAAAAAAAAAAAAAAAAAAAAAAAAAAAAAAAAAAAAAAAATACCACAATGCATGTGTATTGGGATACAACTAAGGGTTGCAAATTAACGACATATTACAGTCTTTGAATAGTTTGAATTATGTCCTTTAAATAACAATTTATATCATACAAGGTTACAAAGCATTATTGCTCGGGGAGAGTGGTCATAAAAATAATTGTTAAAAAATAATGAAATTTTAAAAACGTACCACTATTGCTCATTGCGTACAGTGAATATATTTAATAATTTAGTCCGCTAACTAGTTTAAACTTGTTAAAAAACAATTTTATCGATCGATGAATAATTATTTTGAGTTACACCGTTTACTTTCTGACCAGTGACATCATTTGTTTATGTTTATGATCCATACCGGGTCAGTTGAAGTATTCGTGACATGACTATACAACCATTAAATCTTCTTTTCCTACAGTTACCTAACAATGTACATGTTCTCTCACTGATTTGAGAAAGCAAAGTGGCCAATTCGCTCATCAGTGAGACAATGTTAACATTGTCTCACTCTAATTACTTTGTCTCACTCCAGATTTGCAACGTGAAGGCACGAAATAGTGAGCGCGTAACATGCAGGCAACGTCATATGCGCGCGAAATACGTTGGCAGCTCTGGCTGTAAATCAGCTGGTCAGCTGTTGTACTGTTGTATTTGTCACTTCGCATTAAATGTTATATTAAAAGTTCCCTTCTGTGTAAAAATAGGTTATGTTTCTTCACCAATTTATTTGTTTTATGGTAACTGTAGGAAAAGTATAATGTGCAACTCGAGTTCAAAGTACAATTGCCTCACTCGAGAAACCATTCCTCACTCGCCTACGGCTCGTGAGTAAGGATTTCTCTCGAGTGAGTCAATTGCTCACTTTTCTCACTAGTTGCACAAATAACTATTCCTAACATTAGTGGAAAAAAGTTTATGCACCTCTTGTAGATGATTTAGCTAGATTTTTAACGTAAAACTTTGATAGATATCCAGATGATCTATTCTAAGAAGATTAACTAGCGTAACTAGATTAAGAGTAACTAGCGTTAGTCCGCGGTTAGAAATCAGTTTCAAATCCCAATTAAGTAGTTTATTAACATACAAGATACAACCATACTAACACGATCCGTCTTGGGGGTTATGTTTACACAATATCAAATAGTAAATAAATGTACTCAATGCGTTTCACTATATTGAACAATAAATGACAGCAATTAAATTATACAGCTGATCAGAATGCAAACAATTATGTTCTCCATAAGGATAACATGGGAACTTCCAAAGCCACTGGGGCAGAGCCCAAGGGACGTTTTCAAAAATGTAAGGCCAGTTTGCAAACTTGCTCTTTCCAATGAGACGTCAATTGATAAAATCGGTTAAGAAATGGCGGAGGAGTTCAACCGACAAAGTTTCATGTCGCGTATTAATTATATAGATGACTATAGTATAATGGTTTGTTTTATATGGAAAATGTATTGTATGGTGATGCGAGATATACTATAGCCAATACTAAATGGAATAGTCTAAAACGTTGCCTTGGTCATTCTTCAAGATAATTTTCGTGTCAGAGAGTAAAATAACATTGAAGGCAACGTAAAGTATAATAATTGACTATTGGATATTGAAATAAAAATGAACAAAATATGAATATGTTTTTTGAACATTTCTAGCATGAAATACATAAACTTATTTTCTGCTACGAAATTTCAGATCTTCGTCGCCACCTGCCTGCTGGCCGTCGCGGCCGCTATGCCCCAGTACGGCGGCTACGCCCCGGCGCCCAAGTACGCTCCCGCCCCCTACGCTCCTAAGGCCTACGCACCCAAATACGAGGAGCCTGCACCTGCCTACCCCAAGTACGCCTTCGAGTACGCCGTCCATGACGACAGCACCTACGACATCAAGAGCCAGAAGGAGGAGCGTGACGGAGACTACGTCAAGGGAGTCTACGAGCTGTACGAGCCCGACGGCACCAAGAGGATCGTCACCTACGCCGACAACGGATACGGTTTCGAGGCTGTTGTCACCAAGGAACCCGCCAAGGGCTACGCTCCCGCTCCGGCTTACGCCCCCAAGCCCTACTCTGCCCCGGCCTACCCCAAGTACTGAAAAAATGTTGTCCTCCATTAAGTCATTTACCACTGTACATACGACATCGTTCACTAGTCTAGCTTTTTATACGTGATAGTACAATAAAGTACAACTATTTTTAACATGGTGTACCTATCTTTCACAATTTCCTCATTTCCCCCTGGAATTAAGCCATCTCTATTGGACAGATATAAAATTTATTTATTTATATAGCCAGCATATATGAAAACTCTTCAAATACCTCCTTAGTATACATAAAACATATAAGCTTAAATTATAGAAACAACCATTAGCAGGAATGTTTGTAGTACACTTCACACAATACAGTGTGTATCCAAAAGACTATGGTGTTATTAATTCACTGTACTTCAATATTCCATCATGTGAAATAGTGTTCGATCATACAAGGATAGAACAATTATCCTTTATCCATTTAAGCCTTTGTTCAGTGTTATTAAAAGGATATTGTAGCTTGTATATTAAGCATCATGTAGGCAGACAACTTTCAACTCAGATTTCACTTTAAATAGCTTAATACATTTTTGTTTTATCTTAACGCTCTAAACTTCTGACGATGAGCACAGGTGCGCTATATCTGGCGTAAGAGTAGCATAGGTGTTTTACGATCTAATTTTGCAGTTCGGTCTAAAAAAAAGTGTAGACCAAAAATTCATGTTTATATAGTGTTTGGATACCAGTTTAAGGTCCAGTCTTAAAAGACGAATACTTGAAGCAAGCAAGTACGTTGCTCCCAATGTTGGTATCTTGCACAGTTCAAGCATAAGAAGGAGCACTGCTCTAATAACGCAATTCTATCAATATATTTCGGACATTTCCTATTGCATATGTCTTATTTTAGAAGACAAGTGAGTTAACAAGATAATTGTATTGTCTCTATATTGTATATTACTGTCTCTATTGCATATTAATTAATTCACAACCATTTGTAAGGTTTCTTCAACAGAAAATAACTAACTAGTATATTCTCCTACTGTCATTGGTTCAAAAAATTACAATACCGTTTCATAATAATGATTACTCATCTCAAACGCCGAGAGTTTTTCATCCTTTATTTATAACACCAGGGCTTACGTTTAATATTGGTTAAGAAAACCCTTTAAAGCAAACACCCTGAAAATATTTGTTTATTTTTACTTAAATGTTTTAACATACATTACATTCTAATAATTGGCATAATTCGTTTCATTGGAGGTAACAAAAGGTGTTGATAGTATTAGAAATAACTACATTTCAATCTGCCACGTACATCGGAATTCAAGAGTTATCAGAAGACAAAAATCAATTAAAACATATCACGAGTAATAGAACATAAACAGTTTGTAACGTATAATATAAACAAATGACGCCACTGGCCCGAATGTCTATGCTAATTGCCGTATATTCAGCTGGTTTATAAGAGTGTTTGTATAGTTCCATTTAAATAATAATGAAATCATGTTTACTTTCGGACCAGTGTACGACCATAATTGGTTTAAGTTTATGGTCTATAAGGTTTCCGATTTAATATTCGTGAAAGATACCTAATTATTAAAAACTAGTTATATCTCTTCATTATGATATTTATCGTCACTTAACCATTTTAGTTATAATATCTCATAAAAAAAAAATCTTAAGGAAAATACGGATAATTCATTACATTCCATGGTTCTTGATTTGCCAGTGATTTGTTTAATCAAGAAATTTTCTATCTCATTAACATTTTTTACTGCAATAACTCTTTATCTCTATATTAATGGACAAGCATGTTTCTTTAAAACCTTTTTTCTCAGCTCGTGTGCATCGTAGGGAAAATCTACGCATACTGTTAGAAGTACAGTACTGTATATTTTCCTGTACGTGTGCAGAATCCCTTTATAAAATAAAATAGGCTAAAAAAAGCACATCAAATGAATTTAAAATTTAAAAATATTAAAATGGGCCTTATGGGTTGCCATGCTGATGACGAAATAACAACGAAACATAAACAGAGAATCAAAACAAATGGAAGAAATTCCAATCACATGTTTTATTTACAGGGTGGGGTGAAAATAGAGAAGAGTGTACATTACATATTTTTGGTCGAGTTTTCGGCCACTGGACGACCTCTAGTTATGTTTATTAAATATTCACCTTGACAGTGAGACACAAGTTGGTGCGGAAATGTACTTGTAACGAGCAAGGAAGAGTCCGAACGGCGATAGCCTCAAAGCATTAATGTGATGTTTACTCACAGGTTTTTTTCTCTGAACAGAAATAATCACAAAACCTCAAAAATCACCTAACTTAAACGGTGGTTTTCACAGTTTAAATAGTGACGGCCCTCTTCTGAAAAAATACCCAAAACACTATTTATAGGTTTTAAAACAAAACGATGACGTTTTGTTAAAACTTGCCATTATAATAGACTGAGCTTGTTTAAGACATATCGCAGTAACCAACACAACCAACACACACGAGCAAAAACAAAGTTAATAATTAACTGTAAATGCGCTGCGTCGTATCGTAAGGGCTTTAACTACAGAAAACTATTTGCTATACATAGTGTTTTTTCTAGCTTAGGAGGTTCCGGATGAAAATCTCATTGTCAGTGATGACACTCTTACGGTTTCTTTGAATTTATATGCCTTGTCTTCCGTTTGAGCAAAGCTGAGCTTCAATAGCTCAGGGCTTAAATAAAGCTTCAAATGAGAACGATGAGAATTAACTAAACGCTTCTGATAAACTAAACAAGAGATGAAAATTTCCTCTTTTTATTTTAACCCTTTGAAAGCCTAAGAGTGAGTTATCTGGCGTAAGAATGACACTACTATTTTTATGTTAAATATCAAATTATTTTCGTCATACTGCAGCATAAACAGCTTGATGCGTTGCTGGTCTAAAGTAGCATTTTTACTCTCTAGGGAGTAAAAAGCGTTTTAGCCCATAGGGAGTAAAAATCAGCTGTTGTCAACTCAGTTGTAAATTTCTATTGTGAAAAAATTGCATGTATCCATTGTTTAATCGTTTGTTGTTAATTATTGTTGCCTTAATTGTAAATAGTTCGACATATCGATATTATAATGTACACTCACACAATCGCAATAGACGAAACGATTGAATTACTTACTGCTGCTTGCAACAATTGCTTGTTTCCATTAGTAAATTAAACTGAAAACAAGTTAAAAGTGGTTTTTGAGAGGTTATCTTTCAATGAAAACCATTTCAGATTTGTAACATAGTTTGTTCGAATAATAGTGCAATACGACGAAGAAATATAGTTTCATCACACTGGCAAAAAATTTCTTTTTAACCGTCGCTTATTAAAAAATCTTGAGCTCAGGTCGAAATGAGTCACAGTAGGACCTAGTGATGAAATATACTATTTTATGTTTTCTGTAAGGAAGCACGACGGTCTTGTTCCCCTTGCAACGGCGTTTTATTTAATATCAACGTTAATTATTGATGGCCAAATATCTGATCATATCTGGGTACATAACAAACTTCGCTTAGGATAGGATCAAACACCTTCGAATTTGAAGTTCAGATTTGAAGGTGAGCACAATAATGTCTTTGTACTCAATCAACAATGTATAGACGAGCACGGTGTAATGAATAGTGTATTATACATGTGAATTGTATTGTACATGCAATGTATTGTATAATATTTAAACTACTCAAAAACGGCTGTCCTTGTCATATGTTGCCAGCAACGAGTCTCATTTATATCTATATTACTTGGAGGGGTTTTGCTAGACTAATGTTGTTGAATTATTGTTATTATTATCATTTGAGATAAGGATGCCTCCTAGTTGCGTATTTTAACCTAAATATGAGGAAAAAATGAGTGTACACTGAGTTGCCTTGTGTAGTGTTGTTACTAAATACAGGGAATAATCGATGACGTTAAAAAAATTACCCTTAGTACATCGTACTGAAGGCTTCTATAGAGCTTAAACACTTATGAAAGTTTTTTGGCAAAAAATTGTATTCTCTACTTGTTTGTTTCAGTAATGACCTTCAATATTACAGTATAATTTGTAGTGCTCTTCATTTAAATAATCTTAGTAACAAGTCATAATTTGTATCTTGAACATTCCTGTGAATAATTGAGGTCTGCTCCAATAATGTGCAATACAATGTTCTCATATAAGCTGTATAATGTAGCTTGTTCTATTACGGCAATTTATTATTTTATTTGCATTCATTCATCTACCCAAGTGGCTAATCCATCGATGAGTCTGAAGTACAATGGAGCATTCGAAAACAAGTCACATCAGTAAAGGTTAATAAATGATTAAGTTCATTCTATCTTAAAGTTGACAGTATTAAATCCTGGAGTAAATATAACTAATCCATGATTGTATGTAGTCCTCATGAAGCTGTTTTGCACCAAAGGGTGTGTGCATGTACTAAAGATTTATTTGACTAGGTGCTTGTTGAAAAAGGTTTTAGCTAAAGGAGCAGGAATCTCGATCAAATTACATTCCATCACCTCTTTGCGTTCAGAAAGATCATAATTAGCACACCTGTATATCTTGCAGAGATTCTTTGCCCTAAAATGTATAGTGCTCAAGCTTCAATGAGAATCAAATGTAATTATATACAAATCGTAAAATTAGTACATTCTTCGAGGGCCACGTTTAAATTGAATTACAAATAAAACCATTAATTTAAAATAAATAATTTATTGTATCACGTATAAAAAATAACACTAACGAACAATGTCATATATACAAGGTGGAGGTGATGAGTTGTTTGTACGAGAAACTTAGTACTTCTTGTAGGGGGCGGCGTAGGGCTTGGGGGCGTAGGCGGGGGCAGGAGCGTAGGCGGGAGCGGGAGCGTATCCCTTAGCGGGCTCCTTGTGGACGACAGCCTCGAATCCGTATCCCTGGTCGTAGTACTCGACGATCCTCTTGGTGCCATCGGGCTCGTACAGCTCGTAGGATCCCTTGACGTAGTCTCCGTCACGCTCCTCGTGCTGGCTCTTGATGTCGTAGGTGTGGGGGTCGTTGACGGCGTAGTCGAAAGCGTAGTGGGGGTGGTCGTATGGCTCAGGAGCGTAAGGCTTGGGGGCAGCGTAGGGCTTGGGGCCGTAGGGGGCAGCGTAGGGCTTGGGGGCGTAGCCGTACTGGGCGGCGGCCACAGCCAGCAGGCAAGAGGCAAGAACGATCTGTGTAACATTTGGACAAGTCAAATAAATATTACCACAACCCCAACAAATATCAAAATACAAATCAAGGAAACTATTTGCTCCAATCAGATCCTGTTTGGAATTCCATCTAAGTGCACTGACATTGGCATAACCATAAAAAGTCTACTTGAGAATTTTAGACAATATACAAGATATATTGGCAAGATCTGGTGTTATTGCCTAGTTTCGCAAATACTAGGTGTTCTAAGGTGTTCATCAAATAACCATTAAATTAATAAAATAAACCTCTAATTTAAAAAAGTCATATAATTACAGGTTCAACTGTATGAAGTTGATTTCATAACAGGATAACAAAACCCTAAATAGAAAAACACCCACTTACAATTTAATATTTAAAAATCTATAAAAACATGAAATCTTTGAAGGTAAACAGTTAACAACTTTTTTGATATTCCGAAACGAATTACACTACAGTTTTTTTACTCTGTTGTGGAATGATTTTATCTACAAATTGTAAGCTATAAAATGAGCCTAATTAATATTTTTAGTATAATAATTATATCATATCACTATTATTATTTAGATGGGTATTTACGGCTTAAGAATTATTATAGACACTGTAAGTGCTATTGTGTAGAATAAAAGTTCAACAAGTATGGATACAATTAATTTCAAAAGGATTGCGTATAAAAGAATGAAATTTAAACTGCTCTCTTTGTCAAGGTGGTACCGCTGGTGTATAGTAAATGTTTTTACATAGACAATTTGCAGTGTTCTAAAACAACAACAAGTATTGGTTGCAGTTTAACAATGCATGCATGTTTTCACGATCTTAACGATACTCATAAGATACTGTAAAAAAATAATTTATAGAAGCCAGCAATTTAAATATTGTTTGGATTGAGATTGCGTTAAAGACAACTATGTTACGATGCCCAGATGGTTTGCGAATTAAACCATCAATTATTTCTTAAACAAGTTAATATGTTATAAATATGTTGTCCTTTGACTATCTCACTTAGCACAGGCCCAATTGTGATTATAAAAAATCTGGAGTACAAAATATATTGAGTTTAAATTTACAAATATATGTTTTATAATTTGTCTTCTACTTGTGAATATACAAGCAATCAAACAATAAAAAACAAAAATGTTTAAAAAGAGCATGAGATTAACATCGTAGTCAATCTTAAAATCTCCACACCGGACTAGTGATAAAATTTCTTAACAATAGCTATTGCAAAATAGTTCTCATATTCAGTTTTGTTTCAATTGTGTTTGTGAAAGTCATGTTTTCTTTATAACGTCAGTTAAAATAACCTTTACTTTCTTGCCAAAATGTGTTAATACCTACAAAATAAAATTATACCTTCCTAGGTTGCTAATTTGACCTTGGAGAAAACCTCAAAATCAAAACCTCAGTACAATAAACTACAAACACTTGAATCTACAACTCTTTAAATTAGTTGGTTTATTTCAGTTACATACTTTAAGTTATATTTCAAATAATATGCAAAATGGGTTATATTGTTCAACAAATAATAATAATATACTATTCAGAGGACTACTAAATTATAGCTAAGCCCAAAAAGTTCCACCCTATAAGGAAAACTGTACCAAAATCAACTCTACAATCAAAATAAATAAAACAATATTACTTAAACCACTTCACCCACCTTAAGAGCCATGTTGGAGGTAGTGGACTGAGTGAGGCAGCTAAGTCAAGGAGCGTATTTATACATACTGTTGCTGTAGCACCTAGCTTAGGACTGGGGGTGTGGCCACCAATGGCACCCGAACCTTTCACCGTGTCGCGAAAATTCACGTGCTCTTGATATGTTACAAAGATGGCCGAATTCCATTTATGCACCGGACAAGGTCGCATTAGACCAGTTTCCGATAATGTGCAAATTTATATATTAACGAGTTATAGCGATAATCATGTAGCTAGAAAAGGAGTGCGCCTGGGGTAGCGCTAGTTTAGAACTAGGTGTCGCTGAGGTTCTAGGACGTTTTTGTAGTTGCGGTCTCTACACTATAGTTTTCTTTCATAAAAACTCATCGATATGAGCTAGAGACATAAGTGATAGTTTTGTTTACATTGAACCCGTTTTAGCACATGAACCAAGTAAAAATAACCATACAATTTATCCCCCAACATATGCCCACGACTTGCTTGAATATAAATAGCACCTTAAATGGTAGAAAAGTAGTATTTTGTGGTAGGAGTTTCGATAAAATCCCACTCAACAATTGCTCAAGTCTGTAAGTTACACAATGATGACTTTGACTTTAAATAACATTTGACCTTAAAGGTGTAATCTTTTAGCATTTCGACTAGTATGCGACCAAATAATCAACATTTCTATAGCAAGTAGTTGCACGTTTGTTTATATTGATGATAATGTATTCGTCCTTAGTAATATTACAGAGGCTAAAGGAAGAAAGTTAATTAACAATGACACGCCACATAGAAACTAAAATATAACGGGTATATTATAATTTGTATTGAAAAATAAGAATTTGTGAATAAAATAATGCATATTAAGTTGAGAAGCATTAAGGAACTAATAGAAACTAAACTTTTAAACTGTTATAATATACAATGGAAGTAAGACTGGTTTCTATAATTAAGTATTTTATGTTAAATGTTGGAGAGGGCATTTAAGGTTATTTAAATAATTATTACATGCATTTTAATTTCTTATCCTTGTTATCACGTATAACTGTTTGTGATATTTGAAAAGATTCCCTATACAACAGTTTGCCCACTATTAATTATTTAAGGTAAGACGTTTCAGCTTTAAAGTAAATGAAATCTAGATCACAGATCTTACTAAACTTTAGTCTCAACCGGGTGTACGAGTTAAGTCAACTCGTACATCAAAACATCACAATAAACATCACGGTACTCAACATATACTCAATCACAGCAGTCAATATCTCGACATATGAATCGAGATGGAAAGTCAGTCGGATAAGTAAAGTTAAAGTAATAAATTAAAAGCAAAATTGCTTTTAATACACTCTTTTGCTTCGCTCCCAAAAAATCAAAATTTAACAGAACGCAAGAACATTATGGTTAAATAATACCTAATTTAGGTTTAATATTGTGAGTTATAATATCAATCAATATCAGTGTTTATACTATACAGTGAGGGGTTACTATGTTAAATCTCGTTTCCAGCTCTCCTAATTAACCTATTTTTATGATTGAAGTAAATAACTTCTTGATCAGCATCGTACGTGTTATTAAATTACCAGAAAGTACAAAAATGCGTCAAATAAGACTTGCAATAATATATTTACACCTATACTGTTTACACACAAAAACGGTAAATACATAAAAGTGTTGATGGACACTCCAGTCATCATCATACCTAATAGGCGGATTCTGCCTATTCTGGGTGTACTTTCAGTGTCATTTTTTAGCTTATGATCTAGCGCATCTGTAAATAGTAATTAAAAAGGTAATTTACTCCTAGTCTTAGTCCCCTCCCTCATTTCTCGAGTCAACCAACCTTAATTATTTTACCTTAAAGTATTAGTAGTATTCACCTTAACTGACTAAAAGAGGATTACTGGATTCGTTTTTCCTTGGAAACATGTTTTGAACTCAATAAAAATGCGCATTAAACGCACAGTTTTCCTCGATAGATTATATAAGTACGTAGAATGTAATTTCAAAAGTACGAATATAACTAAGAGCAAAGTATTAAAACCTAACTAATTCAAAACCATTTCAAATCCACACTCGAATTTCCACTTGATCCACTATCTGAATCTGAATCCAAATTTCCTCAATATTTTACTCCGATACTGTCCCACTGTTATCTAGGTCTACTCCACGACACAGTATATTTTCAAAACTAGTTTGTCTGGTTGAAATTTATCGTCGAAGGTCCGGCACGGCGTGTTGAACACATATTTAATGAATAGCTTGCACCGGAATGTTAACCGTAATACCCAGTCCACACAGATCACCTTTGAAGCCACAGATAAAGTGAGCGGAGAATGGACGCTTGTTGGCCACGTGTGTAATTCATCATGGAACGTTCCTCTGGATAAGAATAATTACGTGTAATAGCCACATCCGTGGCGAACCGGTAATTCCTACCAGAGTAGCCCCAGCGAGGTGTTAGTGGGGTATTAATGCTGTGCTAGGGTTACCACATTGTTGAGCTAAACATAGTGTTTAGGTGCTCTATAAAAGATCTATCTTGGGGTCAGATGTCTTTCTTTCTCCAGAAGGAAATTCCACTGAAAACATTGAAATCAGAACTCCTTTCAATAAGAACCACCAAACATCATGATGTACGAACAACATGATGTTTTAAAGGATTTTATAATGGGTCTTTGTACCCGAAACTAGTCATCCATAGACTAAGATAAGACTGAAGACGGGCCAAGGTACGTAACCTATTATTATATTCTTTCAATAAGATTTGAATCTACTTGGATCAGCTGAAAAGAAATAAGGCAGCTAAATATTAAACGACTATGAACGGACGAGAAAGAATAAATAATTGATGTTCAAAGAATGTATGTTGTTTTAGCCACTATATAAAAAAACACTTGATTGAACAATTATAAATTACCATACAATAATTGTTAATCTTTTATGTGTTTGGTTTAATAAAAGTACCAAAAATATTCGTTTGCTCCTGGTCTTTAGTAAGAATCACATTTTGTCATTTAATTAAAATTTAGGTCATTAAACAGCGAATATAAAGGTTTAAAAATTAAATTCAGTCCGACATTGACGGTATTTGATTTGATTTCAAAACATAATTTATATACTTAATAAAATAAGGGTTTTTACTTAACTGATTTTACGCGTGAGGTGTCAATTTAAAACTCATCATCATGCGAATGGTAAATAAAAGGCGATTCTTTAGATACTTCATCCCCCATGTGTATCAATTATTTCTTAAGTCCTCTTTCAAAGATTCAGTGTTTTTGACCATTACACAAATTATTTATAATAGTTTAAATATGAATTGTAATCCAACAGCTCCTTCAGTTCAATGTTAAACTATATTCACATTGTAAACAATAGATAGGTAAAATGGTTTGTGAAAAAGGATTTTTAAAAAGCAAATTGTTTAAAAATATGAACCTAATAATAGGTAAATAACTCTTCTAATAAGTTTCACTCTTTATGACGTGGGATTTACATCTTTAAAAAGTATTGCATTTTATTTCATTGTTATTTTTACCTTGGAATTAATTAAATGTAAACTTTTCGCTTGGGTACCCTAGTTTATTATTAATTGGATGATGACTGATTTATCTTTAGTTTCTTTTTTACAAAGGTATTTTAAAACGACAACAACCTTTTAAACAGATTGCATGTGATGTGGAAGGGTCAAACTTAGTTATACTTTTAGGAAATTAAATCCATAATAAGCATTTAAACAAGTTTTTATTACCTTTATACTTTTGAGAAACCCTATTTATTACTTTGGCCATACACTGTTTAGTATGTTTACCTATACAGTACGATGCCTATCAGGTATCATACTCCTAAATTAGCATTCCTGAATTTGGGTAGTGATGGAATGAGTTGGCAAGAAAATGGGCTTTGAAAATGTTTTAAAAGTTTCTATATAATGGGATTTATCATTTAACATTTCAAACACTGTATCAAACCGGTTTCACAATAATATTTTATGACGTCGTGCTATGCATGGGTGGTGAACACGACTCGACTAATGTGCTATGGTAATGGTAGACCAACAGTTGCTAATGTTATTTACCGACAGCCACAGGTCTTTGCTTAAGCACGGCAGTGTTATTAATGACACAGATATTGTATTTCTCGAAAATAATCACGTACAACCGTCCTAGTTATTTAAAATGCCTCATGGTAAGTATACAGGATGACAATTAAGTCTTAGGATGACTTTATCACTTATAAAAAAGCAATTTACTCTAGGGAGTAAAAATTAGCTGTTGTAAACAGTTGTAAATTTCGATTGTGGCAATCGTATTGATCGAAATTATTTATTAATTGATTTATTAGGTAAGATTTTAGCATATTTTTGTCGATTGCTCGACATAATTACACATTCGTAATAGACGAAATAATTAAAGCACTTACGAAACAGCTGCTTATTTTCATTAGTGTAATTGACATTAGTGATTGAGCAGGAAGTCGTTTTGAGAGGTTATCTTTACATTAAAATATTTCATTTTCTAGCTTTGTTTTTGGTAATTAATGATGCAATATAATGAAAAATATCCCAGTCAGCACAAAAATTGTTGAAAAGCCAAAAAAATTGTTGTACAACAATTTTAAAAGAGTTTGCAACAATTTCAAAATAAGTTTGGATATAAAACAATTTTAATATAAGTTTTAAACAATTTCAAAATTGTTTTAATATAGATGGTTAGTAACTATATTAAAATTGTTTTGATATGAGTGTGCAACAATTTTAAAATTGTTTTAAAACAATTTTAATACTATTTCGAAAACACATATCAAAATTGTTTTGATATAAGTTTGCAACAGTTTTAAAATTGTTTAGAAACAATTTTAATACTATTTCGAAAACACATATCAAAATTGTTTTGATATAAGTTTGCAACAGTTTTAAAATTGTTTAGAAACAATTTTAATACTATTTCGAAAACACATATCAAAATTGTTTTGATATAAGTTTGCAACAGTTTTAAAATAGTTTTGAAACAATTTTAATAATGTTTCGAAAACACGTATCACAATTAAATTGATATAAGTTTACAACAGTCTTAAAATAGTTTTAAACCAATTTAAATGCAACTTCTAAAAATCATTAAAATAATAATTAATGTTATAAAACCAAAATGTTCTGGATATTATATTTATGAAAGCGGCTTTCCTTTCAGTAATATAAGTTACAAAAATTACAATGGCCATCCATAATCTTGAAATGGTCTGTTTTGTAAAAAGATTTATAATGATTTTCGTGTTTTTTCGCCCAAATTTTAAATCTTTCGCACATTTTTTCTATTTTTCCTTATGGGACACTTATACTTGTAGGATAATAGTCAGTGTGTTGTGCTGTGTGTATGTGGCAATGAATACACAAACTAGTTTGTGTATTCATTGTATGTGGCCAATGCGTCAGCAACGACAGCTCCCCGCGATTTTGATTGAAATACAGTACGATAGTGGTAAAATCAAGTGAAAGAGTCATGGAGGAGGGGCAGACTGCCAAACTCAAGTTAGACCTAGACCATCAATTGCGCGACCTGTATAAGTTTAATGGTTAATAACAACAGGTTAACAGTAATGAAAATAAATTATTTATTATTTGTAATTGTATAAGTATACTGGATGAGTTTTAACATTCTTACAAGTATCATCTACTCTAGACTCTACCAGAGTTTCGCAGTTCACTGACTACAGCAGTCTCCAGTCTGTTGATGTTGATATTTGATCATGATCACGGGCTGACGGGCATCACGGCATTTTGTTTGTTTTAAAAGTTATTAGGTGCATTAAGTTTACTGTTTTTATCCTACATAGCTTCTTAAGCAGCAAACAAGGTGAGTTATAACTTACTTAGGCCTTTTCAGTCAGTGGTGATTCAGTTATTCTAAACTAACATATAGGCCTAACCTAAAATGAAATAGAGGTACTCCAATAGTTCCTGGTCTAAGTTAACCAATAACTTTGATAGGTATTTGGTAGGTAACATGATTATGGCCCATCTCTAGAATTGGCCTAGCCTATGTGAGCAAACTCTTATGAATTTCCTTTTGTTTCTCATAAATATAACAGGCTATGTTACTGAAACTGTAAGTTACCGTTGGGTTTTTAGTAAATGGTCGTTGCTAAATGATACAGTTGGATTTACAGTAACCAAAACTAAAATAACTTAGACCTAACTTACACAAGACATCTAACATTAAGTTTATAAACTCATAATTGAATTGAATTACTCACTTAGGTGGCGTCCCCAACTCAAATAGAAAATGACATTGTAGGGCCTGTCGCCTAATGCGGTAACTGCTTAAAAGTAATATGACTAGGTATTTAGGCTTAGGCCTAGCTAAGTTACATCAGCTAGGGATTGATTTAAGTTAAGTTAGCCTATTTTTAAACTTGTTGTGTTAAGGGCTGCAGGGGTTTTTCAACTATAAGTTAAGTTTATAAATATGTTAACTTACTAGACCTTGAAACTTGGTTAACTCATAATTTAGCCCTCCGAGTGTTAAGCATCGCGTAATCGATGCACAACACATCCGCCGTGGTGTTATGCGTCGCTTTTGCGACACACAAACATCGTTTATGGCGAAGGCTCTGGGACTGACTTAATCAGATTGAACTGGATCAAGATTGGTATCGTTTTCGGCAGATTCTAAGCTTTCTCCTGATGTATGTTTCTAGACGCTTTTCATTTTAGTTCCAAAAATATTTTACCAGGCAGCTGACGTGCGTATTTGTAAACAACTTGGTTAACCACCTATGACTGATGTGTTTTATTAAACGTTTCCATTGTCTTAGTGTTAAAATTATAAGAATTTAATTATAAGAAGATTAAAGTGATTTTGAAGGGCTGGTTGATGATCCTGAAGAAGTAGGTAGTGATATTGATGTAAATTATCGGCCAGATTCCTAGCTATGATTAGGCTATGCATTCTTAGCTAACGCTTAATGTACGAAATCTGTTTTTCACCCATAACTTATTTATTTTCAATTTTTCTTCCTTATATTATTATATTTTTGTAGGCCTAATCCTTATAAAATTTAGAACAAAGTGGCTATTTTAAAATATGTGTAGACTTAAAAATTATAAAAAAATATTGAGCGCAAACATACATGTTAGGCTATTCATTTATTATATAATTTTTAATAAATGTTAACTCCACAAAAATTGCAGATTTTTTTTTGCAATGTTCTATTAAATGCATTTTGTTTTTTGAAGAAATGACGAAAAAGAGATGGGCCAACATTGAACAAAGCAAAATAGAGAAATCAGTTGCTTCATGGCTGCCACAGACACAATTAAAATCAAAGACTTAGAAAGGGTATGTATAGTGTGATAATTTGTATTACAAAATTCACTTAGTGAGGTTAAAAACATAGGCTAACAAAACAATATGCTACTAGCTTTCTCTCTTAATTCCGGATGCTTCAGTTTTGATAGTAGGCTATATTGTTATACTAAAGCTCAGGTGATTTTATTTATCTCAGACAAATACTGCAACAATCATTAATACTTGACAGGGTTTTTTTATTTCACGATTCTGAATCTACCACTTGATAGATTTTCACTATTTTTGTGTCGAAAGAAAGATAATTCTGAGAACTAGGGAATGTGAAAGGCACAATTTCAGTTTAGGGTTTCAGTTTTTTTGAAATTAAGTTTTCATTTTTTTTAAGTCAAGCTGTCGACGTCAACATTCTAGACTAGCTTTTGCTATAATGTCATTTGCTTAACGTAACAGCTGTAAACATTCAGGGGTCCCTAGTAACGAAATATAATATTAATCTGTGTGTTATAATTTTAGGGCAGGGTGTCAAAGAGCACCTGAAGAACAGGAAGATGAGGATCGTGAAGCCGCCGACGCTTGAATGATGTGTAAATAATGTATTGTCAGAGTGTCTATGAACCGGGAAATCTGGGAATGAACTTATTTTTTTACTGAAATGTACTGTTTTTAGTAAATATGGGTAATTTTTAGTGGTAATTGTCCTTAAATAATTGTGTGGGCCATTTTAAGTATGATATAAAAATTTGTTAGAAGAACATAAAAGGTTTTTTATAAAATGTTTGCTTACATTTTCATCATTTATTACTATGGAGTAATTATGCAATAGAAACCACATTAGCAGTCTCAAAGCCATAAATATTTTATCTCGACAATCACATCAAGTCAAGTACTTCAAAAAACTTATGTCTCAGTAGCAAAGCTCATAAAAGTTGTATCACTGTCATTCCTTGACAACTTATTTATTTATTACTAGGGTAATTATCATTAGATCCCAAACCTTTTTGATCATGGGAATAATAGTTTTATATTAGCTGTTAAATTTAACTTCTTACTTGTACTTTCATCTTGAAGATTCAATTTGCCGCTGGCCGTTGCCTACTCCCTTCAAAACTGTTTACGGTTTCATATTAAACTTCGAATTAATATACAGTGTTATTTTATAAGTTAAATCCTCTTTTATGGACATTTTATCTTTCAATTGACAAAACCACGAGCATTGTTGTTTGCATTAATTTTTTATCATAACACAGTCCTACTTGGTCTCAAAAAATCATGTCCTTGCATTTCATGTATCTTTGTCTTTTATTGTTGGCTGTTTGGGTTTCAATATTTTTTTGTTCCCATATTTATTTATTTAGTTGTATGCGTTAAGCAATCTAAATCTTATAAACTAGAATGATGATAATTTGCTGCTATTATAACCTCATTGTTTGTTACTTAGTTTATACAAGCCCTCCTAAATAATTAGGTCTAGGCCTAGGCAAACTAATGATTGCTATATATGAATGTTAAATTTGCAATTGAAAAGATAATAATTTATTCTGTGCTGGCTGGTAGAGTACTTAAAGTTTGTCCATGAATATTTTATTTTTATATCCATGCACCCATTTCTATTTTCCAGAATGTAGTAGACTGTGTTTTTATTATTTCTCTACTTTTTTTAATTTGTTTACTTCAAATAGAAGAATTTCAGTATACTTATTTGTTTTTATTTATTCACCATTGTTTTTGATAGTAAACTAATCAATTAATGTTATATTTAATTAGTTGCTTATAAGGCGTACTTATTATTTATGAACTCAAATAGAAATTAACCCTAACAAAGTTCCAAATTTGTCTATTTTAAAACAATTTTCAAACAACTTCAAAATTGTTATACAACAACTTTAAAATTGTTATACAACAATTTTAAAACAATTTCAAAATTGTTTTAAAACAACTTCAAAAATATTTTATAACAATTTCAAAATTGTTGTACAACAATTTTGAAATTGTTGTACAACAATTTTAAACTCATTTTAATATAGACAAAATTCCAAATTTGTCAATTTTAAAACAATTTTGAAACAATTTTGAAACAATTTATTTTCTTTTCCAACAATTTTTATGCTGACTGGGATAGTTCACCACACGGGAAAAATGTGATTTTTTAACCCTCGCTCATTTCCGACCTTGGCTTCGCCACGATCTTAAAACTTGAAGTCGGGTCAAAAGAGTCACTTTAGGCCCTAGTGATGAAATATACTATTAACTCCCAGGTTGTCCATTTTATATGATATGTCTAAGTAGTTTCCTTTAGCTGATTTCCCTGTAGAGAAATGCTCTAAAAAGACACCTTTGTACTTAATTATAATTATCGTATGTATGGATTGGTAGGTCTCTATTCTAACCAAAAACTTCCCTTTTATCTGATTTCTAATAAATATTCTCTTTAAATTGGGCTCATAATTATTATTGTCAGTAGGGTTCGGAACTAGGATCTCCAGGAAAACAGCCCGGGCCCACTAACTATAAAACCGGTCTGGTTTCTACTTTGATTAAATTATACTTAACAAGGAGTCAAATTAAGTATTTCTCAAAAACGAAATAGACGTTATAATTTGTTATCCTTCGCGAATGAGCGTGAATGAATCCTTATGCATGAGCGTCGTGAATATATATAAAGGGGGATTTATATCCCACGACTACTAAAATGGTTTTATTAAGTTTGTTTGATGCTCTGCAGTGGTTCCGCTCTTTCTTGTCTGGCCGTTATCAAAAAGTTTCCATAAATAGTTCCTCAGGTCCGATCTCATCGTCCTACATGCTTTCTCAGCGAGGGGTTCCCCAAGGATGCATTCTCTCTCCTGTTTTATTCCTATTGTATATCAATGATCTCCATTATGAAGGAAATAACTGTCACATGAATTTATTCGCTGACAATGTAGCACTTCTAATCAAGACCCCAAATGCAACCAGCTTAGAGAACAGCTTCACCTCGGTCATCAAGAGCTTAAATAGTTGGTTTGAGTACAATGGTCTTCTCCTTAACAAAGACAAAACAAAATGTCTCAATTTTGGTCTAATTGATTCGTCTCAGAATAGTCAAAGTAGAACAGCAACGCAGCTCACTAATCCCTCATTGACCACAAAATTCCTTGGTGTCATTTTTGATTCCTCCATCAAATGGTATGGTCACGTGCAAAGTTTCACACCAGTTCTGCTCTGTTTAAAATTTAAATTCTCAGTTCAACTTGTAGCAGGGAAGTTCTTGTGGACGTCTATCGTGGATATTGCGAAATCATTTTACGTTATGGCATTGTTGTTTGGGGAAGCTCTTCTGATTTGGAAAGAATACTTAAGTTTCAAAAAAAGATTCTGAGGCGCATTTTCGGTCTCTCCCATCGCCATCCCTGCAAGGAAGTGTTCAAAGATTCTGGCATCCTTACAGTACATTCGTTGTACATTCAGCAGGTCCTCATTTTGACCTTTGTCAACAGGGGTCAATTTCAACATCTAGGGCATTTCCATGACCACCGGACGAGAAATGAAGGCATCCTCTGTTATCCGAGGCACAGAACTGCGGCCTTTGTGAGGAGTCCGTTTTACAGGGGAATCGAATTTTTTAACAAATTGCCTCAGGCAATAAAATCCCAAGACTCTTTGCCCCTATTTAAGAGACACTTAAAATGTTTTCTAGGCTCAAATGCTGTTTATTCCGTCTCAGAATTTCTAAGCCTATAATGTGTATATATGAAGATTCTCATGTTGTATGTTTTAGTTTTAGTATGTAAATATTGACGATGTATGATATTTGTTACATGTTATTGTATACAAATCTAAAGTGCAAATAAACGATTTGATGAGTTTTTACAGAAGCAGTCTCGACACCCAGCATTGAAATTTCGGCCATCGAATTTTAAATACTACTAATGACCGGTTTTTGTCCCTATTGTATTTTATTAGATTAATCCACGACGATAACATCCTCTTCACTTTCAAAAGCCAATGAAACGGGTCTAATGTAAGAAATGTCCAAATGGTCTTAACTTTGTCTGTTTAAATGAATAATTTTCATTTAATTTTACTTAATTCTTTCATACCATTTCATGAACATTGACTATTTAAGTAGTCAGTCACGATTGCATTCACCATTATGAAAAACTCGAACAACTTAGTTCAACAATTTTAATATAAAATATTTACGACACGGTGATACATTTGCGTGGACATGTGCCATTTAAGCTTTACAACGGCCGCGCAGATATAACTGTCTTGTCAAACGTCACCCTTGACCTGACAATGGCCGGTGCAATGGAATGTCAGCCGATACACGGTTGACGAGGCGTCAATAACTCCGGGGCAAGGCCGCAGGCTGACCAACTTTCAGCCGCTTTACATACCGGGGGCGTAACTTCATTAGCTATTAATTAATCGGTGGGCGAGCCTCGGTTAACAAATTAGAGCCGTTTTTACGATTTTACAAAATCGGGCCAGCCGTGTCGCCCGCCGGTCCGGTTTCTGGTATGTGGGATAATTGGGTCGGACTGTTTGTCCTCCAAAACGCACAAATCGCCATTCACCGCACATATTCCGACATAAACAATTGCGAGCAAAGGCCAAGAACAATGCGACTGATGTTAGTCGCGGGGCCTTGGGGCCGAACTGGACCAATCCACGGAACCGTCAATTTGGACGTTGAATTATTGTGGTAAACTACTGTTTGTCACTGGTAAACGCTGTGGTTAGGCAAAAGTGGTTCTGGTGCAAGTGGTGGTTTTTGAAATATTTGAGTATTTTGGACGTCAATTTGTATTTTTTGATTACAATATCAAACAGTTTTACAACGTTTTACTGACTTACGAAATGAATTTGTATATGATAGCGTTCAACGTAATGCAATGTTTTTTTCGAAAGTTTGCTTCTGCATTTGGCGTCTCTATAATGAATATTAGGGATAGTACAATAATAAAAGTAGATAATATTAGTCCTTAGTTGAATAAAAATGTAATGTATTTAATAATGTAATTAGTTTTCCCATAGCAACAGGACATAACGAGGGAGTGATAACAATAATTGATAACAATAATAAACAAAAATTATCATAATTAATCATTAATTATGATAACTTTTGTTTCGTTAACTATTTTGTGCATTATACTGTATTACGTTTACTTTCCTCGATCAGAAAACCTAGTGGAACTAGATGATTAAGGTAATGCAAAAAAATCTACATCTTCAAAAAAATCGCATCTACAAGTTTGAGTTTTGGTGTTTTTCGTGCATGTAACAAAAGTATTAATAATTTTGGATGAACAATAGAAATTTATATATAGACCAAATAACGAAAAGTAGATTGGAAGCGTCCTTATGTTTAAGCGGATTATAAATGCGATTAGTAAAAAATAAATTAAGTTACTTTATTTGTATATATGATTTTATTCATGTGTACAATATATGATAATTAAAAAAAACATCAGGTTTGCATATCGTAATGTATGTAAATCTGTAATGCACCTGTATGTAATATACCTGTAAAAATAAGAGTGGTGATCCGCACCCGGTAATATTTTATTGATCATTCTCTACTAAGAATACCGTCCTAAACTATGACGCGGTGTATGCGTGAAA